CGCGCAGCCCTGTTAAAGATCGAGGCACAAAGCATATCTGCAAATGCGGCTGTTAAATTAATCGCCCAAGGCTCTAAGGGAAAATTTGGCTGTGTCTATGAGACAAAAAGTTATTTTTTCTTCTCCGTTCCACTGGTAATTTATTGACGAAACTGTAAAAAAATTTGTGGTCAGTTCAAATACAAGTTAGAAGCGTGTAAATGGGGGATTCTTATAAGTGCAATTTACGTTATGTGATTTTGATTACGATTTCTCTTGCGACTTGCGAGTTGCCATAACCAAATATTTCAAGATTCACATTATACGATTTTGTCGTACGACTTGTAAAATTGTATCTTGACGTGCGATTATGGGTTCGACCTCGACCAAAACTGTAGAAGAAGATAGGCAAAACTAAAAATTACCACGTTAGTAAACCACGCGTGGGGATGGCGCCCAGATGTCGCCGTCCCCACATCATGTAGCCCCATCCCTAAAGTTGTTAATTACACGACCCCGTATGGACACGTACACTCTTCGTCTTTCTACATGCGATTGTCTACAGGCCCTCATTTGCTGCCAGCCAGTCAGCCGGCCAAAGTGATATGAAAAGTTTCTATTAAGAACAAATGAAGATGCAATTAGAGTTTTGACATCGATCCTACTTTGCAAAAATGAGCTAAAAACTACCGTAGGCCTATGTCTGGTCCAGAATTGCAGTTAAAATTCGAATTTTCAAAAACAATTTTGGTTTCGTTATTTTTCTCTTAAAGAGACGCAGATACCAAATTTCTGTGAGATCGAAAATGTCGCATTCCAGTTGAGACCCTATATTGGGGAAGTACCGCAGTAGACGTTACAATTTCCACTATATGTACGTGGAACCATTCTGTTCTTGGTATAGTCATGAATTTCAAAGGCTGCATGATAATGCGGAACAAAATAGTGAAGAAAGTACTTCGATATATTTTGAGATAGTAGTAAATCCGTACGGGTTGTCAAAAAGCGCGGGGTGGCTATATTGCGATTACCGTTTTTGGACGTATCAAAATTTCATCAAACGTCAACGTTTTAGATCATTTTAAGCAACTTTTAAAGAATACAAATTTTTACTGTCTGTTTTAACTCGTATGTACCTATGTACGTACATACGTTGGCAGATTAGGCATAAAGGATGTAAACGTCATACTATTTTTTTTAAATAGCAATAACGCGAAATTTTTATTAAATTATTCGGAAGACTTTCTTTTTCTGTGTACAACCTATACAAATTATGCTAGGTTTTATTACAAATAAACTTTTTTTCAAATACATACTAGCGCTAAATTTTTTATTTAGTTATTTGAAAGAGATTATTTTTCTTGGTTTAACCTACACAAATTTGGTTTTATTACAAAAAAATATATGTATTAAGTAAATTCTCCGAAATACAGCAGCTTAGTGCGCGGTTACTAAATACTTAGGATTTGAAAAGAATATTTAAAATTCATTGTCGGGACATATTGAAGGACTCTTCAGGCTACAACCTAAAAATATTTTCAACGAAATTGCAATTGTTATACAGGGTGATTTAAATCAAAGTTGCACTTTTTTTAAATATAACTCCCTGTTTTATAATTATTAGAATAGGTGTTTTAACTTTTAACGGCCTATTAATTACTGAGAGGCTTTAAAAATCGACAAACCTTGTGTATTATTAGAAATGGTTGAATTACAAAAATATGTATAAAAGGTAAATACGGCGTGCTTATATCGTTAGAAAGGTAATCAAATCCTACATTTGATGCAATAAAAAACTTGGTAGTTTCATTATAAAAAATCAAGTTATCTTTGATTGAAATTTTGAAAATTTACAGTGATTTCTTTTAGCACAAAAAAAGTTCGGCGTATGTAGGTAAGCACACGTGATGATCAGTAATACTGCAGCGTCATGGCCTTCTAAGTTTTATGGAAACAATTTTTACTGGACATTTATTTTTTTGAGAAAATGACTCAGCCACTCATTTTAGATATCATGTGTAAATAAAGTCACACTAAAATTGACTAAGTAATCGAAATATGCAATAATATAGGTGAGTTCTATTTAAAAAAATACAACTTTGATATAAATCATCCTGTATACCAGTATACATCATCGAGATTTTGTTTGATTCGGATTCCTGGTGCCTCAAAACATGTATTTGATGTATTCCCGTCAAAAAAGGGAGGGATCATTTTTTACCCCACTGCAATACCTCCCTGACTGACATGCGGGTAGTAAAATTAAGTTAAAATAAACAAACAGATAACGAGTGAAGTTTTCGAGTAGTTGTAAAAGGCTGATCTGCAAGAATTTTACACCTGGTTTCAATTTCATTTGGCGATGCCTTGAATGAACGTATAGACATATCAAAACTTTCGATTGATAGTAGTTGATTACAGAATTTTAATTTTCAGGCTGAAACTGAAACTACCATTCTATAGAAATAAATTGTTCTTGGATTTGATTAATTTAAATTGAAGGAGAGAGAACGGCCACAGATACGCCCACACAAGGTCGTAATTGAACACAAACACACAATACAAAGACCCACTGTTTTAATTACGAAGAAAAAATTCATATCATATTGCTTTTCAGCACCATCAATAGTAAAAACCTTCTATGCCATCGTTATACAGACTCCTGCTGATTATTTTAAGCTGAGACCCAAACTAAAACTTTCGATTTAATAAAATTCATATAGGTGCGCTAGCAACTGGAACGTTTGTTGTGTTTCCACAATCGCCTATCTCATGATCCATCTGTAGTATATTTAAATCTGTGTTANACACTGCCTCTTTTTGAGCCCCGAAAAAAAATTGTCTCAGATCGACCCGGAAAAAAAATTTTCTTATAGAATGTGGCCTGTAGAATCCATAATTTCAAACAGTTCCAAGATGGGGCTACTAGTTCAAAAGTTACAGCCCTTTGAATTTTTTTTCGAAATTGGTTTCTAGTCTATAACTTTTGATTGAGAAGTCTGATCGAAAAGTACGAATTGATTTGGATTCTACGCACCCAAATTAATAAGAAAAAGTGTTTTCTCCAGAAATTTTGGTGTAGTCGATTTTTGGTAAAAAAGGAAGGTTATACACTGCCTTTTTTTGATCCCCGAAATAAAAATTGTCTCAGATCGACACGGAAAAAAAATTTTCTTATAGAATGTGGCCTGTAGAATCCATAATTTCAAACAGTTCCAAGATTGGGCTACTAGTTCAAAAGTTACAGCCCTTTGAATTTTCTTTCGAAATTGTTTCTAGTCTATAACTTTTGATTGAGAAGTCTGATCGAAAAAGTACGAATTGTTTTGGATTCTACGCACCAAAATTAATAAGAAAAAGTGTTTTCCCGAGAAATTTTGGTGCAGTCGATTTTGGGTAAAAAAGGAAGGTTATACACTGCCTTTTTTTGAGGCCCGAAAAAAAAATTGTCTCACATCGACCCGGGAAAAAATTTTCTTATAGAATGTGGCCTGTAGAATCCATAATTCAAACAGTTCCAAGATCGGGCTAATAGTTCAAAAGTTACAGCCCTTTGAATTTTTTTTCGAAATTGGTTTCTAGTCTAAAACTTTTGATTGAGAAGTCTAATCGAAAAAGTACGAATTGTTTTGGATTCTACGCACCAAAATTAATAAGAAAAAGTGTTTTCCCGAAAATTTTGGTGCAGTCGATTTTTGGTAAAAAAGGAAGGTAAATAACTGCCTTTTTTTGAGCCCCGAAGAAAAAATTGTCTCAGATCGACCCGGAAAAAAAATTTTCTTATAGAATGTGGCCTGTAGAATCCATAAATTCAAACAGTTCCAAGATTGGGCTACTAGTTCAAAAGTTACAGCCCTTTGAATTTTCTTTCGAAATTGGTTTCTAGTCTATAACTTTTGATTGAGAAGTCTGATCGAAAAAGTACGAATTGTTTTGGATTCTACGCACCAAAATTAATAAGAAAAAGTGTTTTCCCGAGAAATTTTGGTGCAGTCGATTTTTGGCTAAAAAGGAAGGTAATACACTGCCTTTTTTGGAGGCACGAAAAAGAAATTGTCTCAGATCGACCCGGGAAAAAATTTTTCTTATAGAATGTGGCCTGTAGAATCCATAATTTCAAACAGTTCCAAGATTGGGCTACTAGTTCAAAAGTTACAGCCCTTTGAATTTTTTTTCGAAATTGGTTTCTAGTCTATAACTTTTGATTGAGAAGTCTGATCGAAAAAGTACGAATTGATTTGGATTCTACGCACCCAAATTAATAAGAAAAAGTGTTTTCCCGAGAAATTTTGGTGTAGTCGATTTTTGGTAAAAAAGGAAGGTTATACACTGCCTTTTTTTGAGCCCCGAAAAAAAAATTGTCTCAGATCGACCCGGGAAAAAATTTTCTTATAGAATGTGGCCTGTAGAATCCATAATTTCAAACAGTTCCAAGATTGGGCTACTAGTTCAAAAGTTACAGCCCTTTTAATTTTCTTTCGAAATTGGTTTCTAGTCTATAACTTTTGATTGAGAAGTCTGATCGAAAAAGTACGAATTGTTTTGGATTCTACGCACCAAAATTAATACGAAAAAGTGTGTTCCCGAGAAATTTTGGTGCAGTCGATTTTTGGCTAAAAAGGAAGGTTATACACTGCCTTTTTTGGAGGCAAGAAAAAGAAATTGTCTCAGGTCGACCCGGAAAAAAATTTCTTATAGAATGTGGCCTGTAGAATCCATAATTTCAAACAGTTCCAAGATTGGGCTACTAGTTCAAAAGTTACAGCCCTTTGAATTTAACCTTGTTTATTATGGAGCTAGTGAACTAGTCCTAATATCTGGATGAACAGGGGATGTGTAAAATTCGCAACTATTTTAGAAACTTAGTGATTGCGCACTTGTTCGAGATAGTATTTGAAAATGGCTCATAGTTTTCCATTAAACAGTGCACATCCACTAAACTGGGACTTACCGAGGGGCCGCTCACGTCATTTGCAACTTCATTTAATTTTAATTCCACAATCAAGAAAGTTTGCCCTGACGTCAAACTAGTCAAAATTTGTAAGTATGGAAGCGATACGCTTTTCGAAATACGACGAGTACCTGGAGCTCTTCGAGTGTCCAATTCCGCAAGTGACCAATGCGGATCACGTGCTCGTAAAAGTACTGTTTGCGGGCATAACTCAGAGGGACGTGCACGTTATCGATGTAAGTACGCCGTTAGAGCACGTTTAAGTCACCGGTCAGTTTAAGGGTAACGTACCCTGCCGAAGGGACAAGGCCTTCATTATGGGCCAGGAGATCAGCGGCGCGGTCGTCGGTATTGGGACCCAAGTCTTGGTGGTAACTCCCGGCGATTACGTCATCGTGAACCCGTTCAGCTCGTGTCAGATTTGTAACCACTGCCGTTCGGGGCACCCCCACCTGTGCCAGCAGTGCAAGGTGGAAAGGATGATGGGATTGCACGAAAACGGCGGTTGGGCAGAGTACATCATCGTTCCGGAAATACAAATCTACAAGCTGTGCGACAACATTCCGGTGGAATTAGGTACGACCTGCAAGGTAACTAGGCGCCTAAGACAACCTTTCAGGAATCCTAGCGCCGCTACTGTCAGTTGTGGCACACGCGCTTCAATTCATAGAGCCCCTAGGCCTCGACAAGCGGATTTTGGTATTGGGAGCCGGAGTCTCTGGAGTGTTATGGATCGCCCTCTTCCACTATAAGGGTTTCAGGAATGTACTGGTCTCGGAACCCAATCTGGCACGGCACGAAATTATACAACAGATGGGTACGGCGCCATCTAGCGAGTAGGCTTTCACTTCCGCTTTCGTTCCAGACGTCAACTACGAAATAATCACGCCCGCTGTTGTCGGACAGAGAATATCAACCGACTCGAGTTTTTACTTCGACCTTGTAGTCGACTGCTCCAGTAACGCCAAGGCCCTACAACGGGCGGTGGATTTATTAGACTCCGGTGGTAAATTGTTAGTCTTCGGTTCGAAACCGATGAACGCGAGGATTTGGTCAGTATTTCGTCTCTTTGTCGCCCGTTTCATCATTTTCACTTGAAGCATTAGCCCGTTTGAGTTGCAAAGGCGGGAATCGAAGATCATTGGCGTCGATGTTGGTTCCTACACGTATCCCAGCGCTTTGGCGCTGCTGCAGTGTTTAAGTAACAGGTAGGGTACGAGGGAGAACGGTTGAATTTAGATCTGACAGCTGAAAGTTTAGATATCTGACCTACGAGCGATTAGGCATAAAAGTGTACCCGTTAAGACAGTACAAGGAGGCCATCGACCATGTTCGAAAACGAAGCGTCCTTAAAGCCGTATTTCGTATGCCCGATGATTGCAAATGTTTGTAGCAGATCAAATAAATCACTTGCAAATTTTGATCGTTGGATTCAGCAGGCTAAGTTTTTCCCAGGTTGATTTCAGAAAAGCAATTTTTTCGATCAGACTGTAGCCTTTTGATTTTCATGCAAAAACGACTAATCCGAAATTGATCGGGAAAACACTTTGCTTTATAAATTTTGACATGAAAAAACAAAACAGAATACAAATACTAACATAATTGACATAGGTAAGGAAAGTCGACCTGTGATTACAAGAAATATTGTCAGTTACCAATCTTAGTTCATTTAATGAATTTGGGCCGCGTTACCACAAGGGTTCCTGGCCCAGTGAAGTGCTACACTTTGAATGGGGTCCAAATGCTCAAAACAGCAAGTATGGAGAGGGAAAAGCGGACAGCGGAGCAGTTCGATCTCACAAAAGCCATGGAGAGGTCTTTATCCAACCTGAAGAGCCTCCCTCGTGAGCCTATCAAACAGTACAGACTATCCACAGTCACTTCCGCCACTATTACCGCACCGTACTTAGCAGTCAGGACGCTGCAGCAATTAGCAGAAAACGAAGCTGCGCAGTTCCCAAAGGTATCGGACTTCTACGTGGACGACTCGATAACAGGGTCGTACAACCAAGAAGTTGCGAAGGTCCTTCAACATCCGTTGGTCGACTTGTTGAAACGAGGAGGGTTCAGACTTTTGATCTAGTAGTCCAATCTTAGAACTGTTTGAAATTGTGGATTCTACAGGGCAAATTCTATCAGAAAAAAGTTTTTCCCGATCGATCTCAATCTTTTCGGCCCTAATCGAAAAAGTACGAATGGTTTTGGATTCTACGCACCAAAATTAATAAGAAAAAGTGTTTTCCCGAGAAATTTTGGTACAGTCGATTTTTGGCTAAAAAGGAAGGTTATACACTGCCTTTTTTGGAGGCAAGAAAAAGAAATTGTCTCAGATCGACCCGGGAAAAAATTGTTCTTATAGAATGTGACCTGTAGAATCCATAATTTCAAACAGTTCCAAGATTGGGCTACTAGTTCAAAATTTTTGGTAATTTTTCTAAAAGGAAGGTTATATACTGCCTTTTTGGAACAAGAAAAAAAAAGTCAGATCGACCCGGAAAAAAAATTGTCTTATAGAATGTGGCCTGTAGAATCCAATTTCAAGCAGTTCCAATTGGGCTACTAGTTCAAAGGTTACAGCCCTTTGATTTTTTTTCGAAATTGGTTTCTAGTCTATAACTTTTGATTGAGAAGTCTGATCGAAAAAGTACGAAATGTTTTGGATTCTACGCACCAAAATTAATAAGAAAAAGTGTTTTCCCGAGAAATTTTGGTGCAGTCGATTTTTGGCTAAAAAGGAAGGTTATATACTGCCTTTTTTGGAAACAAGAAAAAAAAATTCTCAGATCGACCCGGAAAAAAAATTGTCTTATAGAATGTGGCCTGTAGAATCCATAATTTCAAGCAGTTCCAAGATTGGGCTACTAGTTCAAAAGTTACAGCCCTTTGAATTTTTTTTCGAAATTGGTTTCTAGTCTATAACTTTTGATTGAGAAGTCTGATCGAAAAAGTACGAATTCTTTTGGATTCTACGCACCAAAATTAATAAGAAAAAGTGTTTTCCCGAGAAATTTTGGTGTAGTCGATTTTTGGTAAAAAAGGAAGGTTATACACTGCCTTTTTTTGTGGCCCGAAAAAAAAATTGTCTCAGATCGACCCGGAAAAATATTTTTCTTATACAATGTGGCCTGTAGAATCCATAATTTCAAACAGTTCCAAGAGTGGGCTACTAGTTCAAAAGTTACAGCCCTTTGAATTTTTTTTCGAAATTGGTTTCTAGTCTATAACTTTTGATTGAGAAATCTGATCGAAAAAGTACGAATTGTTTTGGATTCTACGCACCAAAATTAATAAGAAAAAGTGTTTTCCCGAGAAATTTTGGTACAGTCGATTTTTGGCTAAAAAGGAAGGTTATACACTGCCTTTTTTGGAGGCAAGAATAAAAAATTGTCTCAGATCGACCCGGGAAAAAAATTTTCTTATAGAATGTGGCCTGTAGAAACCATAATTTCAAACAGTTCCAAGATTGGGCTACTAGTTCAAAAGTTACAGCCCTTTGAATTTTCTTTCGAAATTGGTTTCTAGTCTATAACTTGATTGAGAAGTCTGATCGAAAAAGTACGAATTGTTTTGGATTCTACGCACCAAAATTAATAAGAAAAAGTGTTTTCCTGAGAAATTTTGGTGCAGTCGATTTTTGGCTAAAAAGGCCTTTTTTGGAGGCAAGAAAAAAAAAGTCCATTCTTGGAACTGTTTGAAATTATGAATTCTACACATTCTATAAAAAAGTTTTTTCCCGGTCGATCTCAGACAATTTTTTTTCCGGCCTCAAAAAAACCAAAAATAGACTACTCCAAAAGTTCCCGGGAAAATACATTTTCTTATAAATTTCGGTGCGTAGAAGATGATACACAGACGACGAGAATGGAGACGGCATACTTTGTGAATGTCCTGCTCTAGTCCAACTGAGACGATCCATGTTGGGGGAATCCAGGCCAGACAAAGCTACGATTAGAGCCGCCTCCTTTTACAGTGTCCTAAGGTTCATCTCACCTGTGGGATGGCTCGAGTGACGTTGAGGGGTCGGGCGTCCTTACTCAGGGAGGCAGTACAAAGGGCCTGAATTTGAGGCCTAAGTACGCGTGGAACCTGTTCACCCTCCTATCGTAATCCAGATCCCGGGCGATTTCTGCAGAACTTACGAGCAGAAAAATTCAATGGGCCTTGATCCAATTGTTACTATTTTTGGGGAGCAAATGAGGGCATCCACGAGTTTTGGAGGTTACAAATTCGTGAAATCGCCCGATATATAAACAGGTGAAAAAAAGACACATTATGCAACAAAGGACAACTGGACAAGAGCAGAGCGGTGGCAAGAATGATGAAATTTATTGTTAATTTAACAAAAAAATATTTAATAAATACTCGATACAAAACCACCGTTTATACAAAAAATATTAACAAGTTTCAAAAAAATAACTTACTAACAATAAAATGGATACTAACTTTATTATCTACTGTAACAATCTCTAATTTCTCATATACACGAAAACGACGAACAGAATTTTCTATTGCAAATTTTATCAAAAATATAAAGGCAATATAAAAACGTTTGCTGCGTACCCAACTTCGCTTATGACTGTATTGTCCGATTAAACTAGAAATAATAAATTACGACAAATCGCGCAGAAATTCGAACCGATGCCTCCCTCGCGCCGATTCAAATATCCCCGACGACTATCACCCGAAGAAGATGCTTTGGCGTTAATGTTCGCTCGCGTGGTCGGTTAGCTGGGATAAAATTCGTATAACCTCGGCCTTTTGGTTGTCGCTCAGTTTTTGAACGATTTCGACGACCGCGTCTAAGGCAACATCCGGACAATCCTGAAATGCGAAATTAGGGATCGCCGCGTTTCTCGGGACTATTTACCTCTAGGGATTGCCTGATTTGATTGACGACCGCGTCTTTCTTCACGCAGTGAATGTTGTAGGCGATGATCGACTGATCGGGCGTCTTGTTCTGGTGATAACTCAGCCACTCGACCACCAGCTCGTTGTCGTCCCACCGGTACGCCTCCGACGCGCCCTTGTCCTCGACGAACCATCGCCGCAGCATCGACTCGGCTTGGCCCACGCTGACGTCGGGCTGAACGTTCAGCAACGCGCGGACGACTTCGTCTTGAAGCAGGAGCCTTCGCAGTCGCCAGTACAGGATGCGTCTCGCTTTCCGCCAAGGCACTATGTCCTAAACCATAATTTTGAAAAAAGAAACCAAAAATGAAACGCGACGCCTAACCTGAATCACTCCTTTCTCGTGCATTCGTTCGGGTGTATCGTGCAGGTCGGCGAAGTGGACCGAGACCTGGTGGTACATCGGCAGCAGCAGCTGGACGCGCTCCGCTATCTTGTTCTCCAGCTCGACCACCTCGGGCAACTTCTTAACCTCGCCGCGCTGGCTAATGCTCGACTTGCGCTCGAGCTCGATCGGCTGACTCTGATTGATCTGCTTGATCTGCTCGTTGTACGCCATGACGACGGGGTCGACGCGGTGCATCACCTTAACCAGATCCTTCTCGCGAAATTTGATTTCGACTATACCCTCGGGCTCGAGAACTCCGCCCCTAACGAGATTTGCGAGGTGAGGGATTGCGCGCGCACGTCGTCGTCTGACTTACCTCGATTCGGGATCGGCGTACATCTCCATGTATCTTAAGTTGATGGTGGGATCGACGACGGCCCAGGCGCCGCCTCGTAGCTCGCCGTTGGGCGGGATGTAGATGATGACCGGTTGCTTGTACTCGCGTAGGGCGTCGACGATGTACGCGCCGAATTTCATTATCTGCTCGTACATGTCTGTAATTGGTGGAGCGGTGAGAGGTCGCGGAGTTCAAAGGACAATTAGGGGGAGAAAGATATACAGGGTGTTCCAACTAAGTCACGTAAAAATATCTATTGTTTGTACCTTTTTTTCCATCTTACATGGATAGTAACGTCCCAAAAATGTCAAACTTATCGTTATCACCCTGTATCTCAGAAACAAACGTTTAAGTTTCTCAAAAAAGTGGCACAGGGTCGCGAAAACCGCAATCTTTAAAAAGAGCTGGGATACACTGCACTCTCAACCAAAATGGGACACAGGGTACATCATTTGCTCTTGATCGCATTTTTTACAATTTTGCATTTCAAAAAAGTCAACGGAAAGGCGAAAAGCCAATTCTAATTCCTACTGTAACCGTACACCAACTTTGTTGAAATAACGAATTTCAAAAAAAACTTTTTGACACTTGAATTCAAAGAAAGGTCATCTGTACGAGAGAGCAAAATAGTTTTTTAGTTGCAACTCTTTTCGATCTGGGTATATAAATATATAGGTACCTTCATCAAATTTTTGAAAAACTTGTTTTGAAATGATGCATTTCAAGCAAGGTCCCCTGTAAGAAAGACCCAATGAGTTTTTGAAATAACGAATTTCATAAACTTTTTAACACTTTTTTGAATACAAAGAAAGGTCGTCTGTACGAGAGAGCAAAATAGTTTTTTAGTTGCAACTTTTTTCGATCTGGGTATATAAAAATATATCTTCATCAAATTTTTGAAAGACTTTTTTGAAATGACGCACTTCAAGAGAGGTCCCCTGTAAGAGAAACCTAAAGAGTTTTTTAGTTGCAACTTTTTTCGATCTCTCCTCTACTATTGATATACTTTCATCAAATTTTTTAGACATTTTTTGAAATGATGCATTTCAAAAAATATCATGTGTAAGAGAGACCCAAAGAGTTTTTTAGTTGCAACTTTTTTCGATCTGGGTTCTACTATTGATACACCTTCATCAAATTTTTGAAAGACATTTTTTGAAATGAAGCATTTCAAGAAAGGCCCCCCGTAATAATGAGTTTTTTATATGAAACTTTTTCGATCTGGGTTCTACTATTGATATACCTTCATCATATTTGTTAAAAACATTTTTTGAAATGGTGCATTTCAAGAAAGATCATCTGTAAAAGAGAGCAGAGAGTTTTTTAGTTGCAACTTTTTTCGATCTGGGCTCTACTAATGATACACCTTCATCAAAGGTCATGTGTAAGAGAGACCCAGAGTTTTTTAGTTGCAACTTTTTTCGCTCTGGGCATATGCCTTCGTCAAATTTTCAAAAATTTAATAAATATGTTTTTGAATCAGGGTAATCAAATTTCGAGTCTCATTGACCTGCATATAACTTACCTTACACCAACTTTAAACTTTTTTGAAAACTAATTTTTTTGAATTAAAGATAGATTTTTAAAAACAACTGAGATACACTGCAGTCTCAACCAAAATAGGACACAGGGTAGATAATTTGCTCTTGATCGCATTTTTTACAATTTTGCATTTCAAAAAAATCAGCGGAAAGGCGAAAAGCCAATCCCAATTCTACTATAACCGTACACCTATTTTTTTGAAATAACGAATTTCAAAAAAGATCAGTTGCAAGAGAGAACCAGACATCACGCGCGGCCGTTTTGAGTTGCAACTTGTCTTCGATTTTGGCTCTATTATTAATATACTTAAACATTTTTTGAAATAATACATTCAAGAAAGTAACTTCTTGCCATTTTTTAAAAAAATGCATTTCAAGAAAGGTCTTCTGTAAGAGAGTCTCAAAAAGTTTTTTAGTTGCAACTTTTTTCGATATGGGCTCTACTATTGATATAGATCAAATTGTTTGAAACGTAGCATTTCAAGAAAGGTCATCTGTAAGAGAGACCGAAAGAGTTTTTTAGTTGCAACTTTTTTCGCTCTGTGGTCTACCTTCATCAAATTTTCAAAAATTTAATAAATATGTTTTGAATCAAGGTAATCCAATTCCATATAACTTACCTTATACCAACTTTTTTGAAAACAAATTTTTTTGAATTAAAGATAGATCTTTAAAAACAGCTGAGATATACTGCACTCTCATACGACACACGGTATATCATTTTCTCTTAATCGCATTTTTTTAATTATACAATTCCAAAAGTCAGCGGAAAGGAGAAAACGCAAATTCCAGTTCTACTATTACCATACAACAACTTTTTTGAAATAACGAACTTCAAAAAAGATCAGGTGTAGGAGAGAACCAAAAGACACCACTCGGCCATATTTTGTTGCAACTTTTCTTCGATTTTAGCTCTACTATTAATATACTTATTAAACGTTTTTTTGAATACTTTCAAGAAACACTTTTTTGAATTGCTGCATTTCAAGAAAGGTCCCCTGTAAGAAAGACCCAATAAGTTCTTTAGATGACGATCTCTACTACTGATATACTTTCATCAAATTTTTTTAAGACATTTTATGAAATGATGCATTTCAAGAAATGCAAGAGAGACCCAATGAGGTTTTTAGATGAAACTGTTTCGATCTGGGCTCTAATTGATGTCCCTTCATGAAATTTTTGGACATTTTTTGAAATGATGATGCATTTCAAGAAAAGTCCCCTGTAAGAGAGATCCAATGAGTTTTTTAGTTGCAACTTTTTTCGATCTGGGCTCTATTAATTAATACACCTTCATCAAATTTTTGAAAGACATTTTTTGAAACGAAGCATTTAAAAAAGGGTCATGTGTAAGAGACACCCAGAGCTTTTTAGTTGTAACTTTTTTCGATCTGGGCTCTACTATTGATACACCTTCATAAATTTTTTTAGACATTTTTTGAAAAGATGCATTTCAAGAAAGGTTCCCTGTAACAGAGATCCAATGAGTTTTATAGATGAAACTTTTTCGATCTGGGCTCTACTATTGATATACCATCATCATATTTGTTTTTTGAAATGGTGCATTTCAAGAAAAGTCCCTCGCAACAGAGACCCAATTTTTGGACATTTTTTGAAATGATGCATTTCAAGAAAAGTCCCCTGTAAGAGAGATCCAATGAGTTTTTTAGTTGCAACTTTTTTCGATCTGGGCTCTATTAATTAATACACCTTCATCAAATTATTGAAAGACATTTTTTGAAAAGATGCATTTCAAGAAAGGTCCCCTGTAACAGAGACCCAATAAGTTTTTTAGATTAAACTTGTTCGATCTGGGCTCTACTATTGATATACCTTCGTCATAATTATTAAAAACATTTTTTGAAATGGTGCATTTCAAGAAAGGTCATCTGAAAAAGAGACCCAAAGTTTTTTAGTTGCAACTTTTTTCCATCTGGGCTCTACTATTGATATACCTTCATCAAATTTTTGAAACATTTTTTGAAATGATGCATTTCAAGAAAGGTCCCCCGTAAAGAGACTCAATGAGTTTTTTAGATGAAACTTGTTCGATCTGGGTTCTACTATTAATATACCTTCATTATATTTGTTACAAAACATTTTTTGAAATGGTGCATTTCAAGAAAGGTCCCTCGCAACAGAGACCCAATGAGTTTTTTTAGATGAAACTTTTTCGATCTGGGCTCTACTATTGATATACCTTCGTAATGTTTGTTAAAAACATTTTTTGAAATGGTGCATTTCAAGAAAGGTCCCTCGCAACAGAGACCCAATGAGTTTTTTAGATGAAACTTTTTCGATCTGGGCTCTACTATTGATATAACCTTCGTCATATTTGTTAAAAACATTTTTTGAAATGGTGCATTTCAAGAAATATCCCTCGCAACAGAGACCCAATGAGTTTTTTAGATGAAACTTTTTCCAACTGGGCTCTACTATTGATATACCCTCATCAAATTTTTGAAAGACATTTTTTGAAATGATGCATTTCAAGAAAGGTCATCTGTAAGAGAAACCGAAAGAGTTTTTTAGCTGCAACTTTTTTCGATCTGTCCTCTACTATTGATACACCTTCATCAAATTGTTTTAAGCCATTTTTTGAAATTTTCAAAAATTAAAAAAACATGCTTTTGAATCCTAGTAATCAAATTTCGAGTCCCATTGACCTGCACATAACTTATTCTATACAAACTTGAGACATTTTTGAAATCTTTAAAGAGCCCGGCAATCAAATGTCGAGTCACTTCCACCCGTATATAACTCACCTTTCATTCCTCCACTAAATCCACGCCAGTTCGCGAAGATGAACAGTGGCAAATCCTCCTTCGAAAAGTCCTGGATCGCCTGCGCAGTCTTGTAGGCGGAATCCGGGAACCAAACCTGGCCGGCTTGCGATATCGTCTGTAAACCCGATCGTTAGAGTCACGAAACCGTCGCGCCCCCTTAGCTCACCTTCGACTCGGAGTCAAAGTTTGCCGGATCGGCGGGGAGGGTCAGCTCGACGGTACGCGTCTCGACGGCGATAACGCCGACCGGAACACCGCCGAGCCGGGCCCTGCCGACGACGACGGTCTGCGCCCACGGCTCCATGATCTCCGCCCACGAGTTCCTATCGAAAAATCCGCTCTCCCACATCATCCCGTCCTTGCCGTTCGAGACCATCCGTCCCTCGAGCATCCACCTCGGATTGTACGGCGCCTTGGTCGGCATGTACGCGATCTCGCGGTCGATCGGATCGACCGGTTTGATCATCGGGACCGGCGAGTTTTTGTCCTAAAGGATCGAATTTGAAAAGGGAGAGGTTACGAGAGACCTTACCTTCGGAACGTAGCTCAGCCAGTTTAAGATCGTGTAAATGCCGTCTAGGTCCGTCTGATCGGTCTTGTGGGAGATGCCGTTGTTGTGCATGATCTGTATGCCTCCCAGTTGATTGTTGGAGGCGTAAACTTCGCGTCCCAAAAGCTAAAATTGCACAATTAGACGCGGTTCTTACGTCTTCCAAGCAAATTCCGACGTTGCTCTACCAACTTAATCAATTAAAAAGAAATTCTACGTCTGCGCGCCTGATACCATAATTTATGCCCTGCGTACTGTCACTAAACGAGAAGAATCTGACAGTATCTATTCTCCTGATACAATAAATTCGGCGTCTGCGCTCCTGATACTCGGCCTTTCTTATACAGGACTCAAGGGAGCAACACTCGAGAAAGTGGTAGCTTTTGCTCACCCGTGCGACAGTAACCACGAATCTTCTGATACAACAAATTCAGAGAATTCAAAGATTGAGGTACCAGGAGAACATCTGATGAGGATGATTTTAATTTCTGCGCTCCTGTTTAATGTCCGGAGAGTGATATGAAAAAACAGTGCTCCTGATACTTTTTTCACCGAAATTGAGCCAGGCTGAGGAAGGCTTTGATCGATTTTCATTTTTGCGCTCCTGATACAATTCGTTTAGTGTCAGAATCGACGAAAAAACCGTGTCCGCTCTTCTATGCTCCTGATACCATAACCGAAATTGCGGTATCAGGAGAACATGCAAGAAAACCTGTCCTGCGCTCCTAATAATTGTTTGTTTGATAATCAAGTGCGCACATCGGAAATCTGCTTGAAAGTCCCACACGATCGATTACCAACTTACCTTATTAAGTGCAGTGTAACCCGTAAGAATAATGGGCGAATTCTCGATCTGTATTATCCTCTGTCCCAACCGTACCAGGTACGAGCCGATACCGATCGCCCTGCACGTCACCATCGAAAAGGTGACCACCTCGCGATAGGCCTGAGACGTCTCGCCGGCGATCATGCCGGCGTATCGCAAATTTTCGACGCCCAAAGCGTCGTCCTTGCCGATAATGTCGGTGATCTTGTAGCGCGACTCGCCCTCGTCCTCGATCAGGACGGCGCGAAGCGAATTCGTCGCGCTAACCTTCGCGTAGTCCTCGGGCGTGACGTACAAATAGCGAAAGCCGCGGTCCGGCTCGTTGGCGTCCTCCCACGCGATCCTGAAGAGACTCTTCACCTCCTCCGCCAGACCGATACGCGCACCGCTGTTCGCGGCGATGTAAACCTGCAAGTGAGAGTAGGGGTGAGAACGGGTTTGGACCGGGCGAGGAGTTACCCTTGGAATTTTCATTGCGCGCGACATCTCGCTGGCCAATAGAAAGACTTTGTCCTCGCGAGGGCCGAACGACCCGATCAGGTAGGTGATGTCGTTCGCGATGACGATGATGTCGCGACCGTCGGGATACTCGGGCGTGTAAAGGGTGAGCCGCCACGCGACCATCGCCACGTTGTTCTCTCCGGGCACCCGTTTTTGCTCCAAGAGGCGATTCTCCGATTCGGGATCGAGCACCAGCTCGACGAAGTCCATCAGCTTTTCCGGTACCGTAATCTCCTCGGCTAGAATTGGAGGATGTTAGTCGACCTTCACCTCATCTTACTCGTACCTAAGCGTTGCTGGATGTACTGCTTCCAGTGCAGGTCGACCATCTGCCGGAACATGTCGGGGAAGTCGTAGACGTAGGTGGTGCCGTTTTGTTGCGCCTGGAAGCGCTTCTGCTGGAGGTAGTCCTTCGCGAGGTACGGCGTCGAGATCGGCAGGCCGTGCATGGGACCCTGCTTGGTTCCGTACGCTTGGAAACGCACCAGACCGGTTTCCGGATCGACGGATTCCGTGTAGGTGTTGATGTCCAGGTAATAGCCGCTGTCGTTCGCCAAGCACAGACGAACGTTTTGCGTCGGCGAGTTCGGCGACGATCGGATCGTCATCTTGAGCTCGGCCTGTAGCACCCTCAGCTTCCAGAGGCGGGGTCCGTAACGCATCACCATATTCGTGACCGCCTCCTCGATCTAACAGAAGTGTCAATTTTTGCGAGGGGGACCACCAAAACTTACCTTAACCGGATCCATAATGACCGACGGTATGAAATTGAGGAAGATGTGATTGCAGTCGGTGTGACGCGAGTGCGGATGCGAGAAGGCCACCTCCAGTTCGTCCATCGCCTCCAGCAAGGCACGTTCGCCCTCGTTTTGCAAATATTCGAACGAGGCCTCTTTGGTGATCAAATCGGAGTGTCGAATGATCGATCGTATAAAGAAACGATAGTCGGTTACCTCTCGCCCAGGGGCGACCTTCGCCTTTCCGAGATACAGGTGCATTTTCTGATTCGATATCGGCAGCGCCTCCAAGTTGTAGGTCCTGCGCATGCGGTTCAGCTCCAACTGGAACGCGCACGCCGGCTCAAGATGGCGATATATGCGATCCTCTCTGAAACCGTCCCGATTGCGATAGGTGAAGTACTTCGGGTACTGCTTCTTCTGGAGCAGCGTGAACGTGATGCGCCTTATGCGCCGCTTCTCCAGCTCCTCCTTGTAGCGCGCGCAGAAGTTCCCGAAGATCTTCGCCATCGTCGAGTCGTCGACGTCGCCCTTGTCCTTGACGCCGATGTGCAGTATGTGAATCGGCTCGCAGAGCTTCTCCTCCTCCTGCTTCGCGCGCGTTCCGTCGATCGATAGGCTGACGTTGATCGAGGTGCTGTTACCGCGCGACTCCGACCCGCTCTCGAGCGCCTGAATGTCCTTCGCCGAGATAGTCGCGGGACTCGCGATGTCCTCGACCAGGTCGAAGATCTCGTCGGCGTACTGCTCGAACTGCTGGAAGTTCTCGAAGGCCGCCATGCAGCCGGTCCGCTGGAAGGTGTCGAAGAGCTTCGGCTTGTCGCCGTCGGCCTGCTCCTGGATACCGTCGAGCTGCATCAGGCGGTTCGGGTGGGTCGACGGAAGCAAAAACTGTATGTGCACCAAGGGCACTTCGCAACTCAACTCCAAATGCTGCAGGCACGTGATGTCGTAGCTGGTGTAGGCGCGCCGGACGTAGACTTCTAAGGCGGCGTGGCACACCGACTTGTTGACGTGGTAGAAGAAGTCGTGGAGGATGTCGAAGATCGAGGTTTCGGAGACGATGAGTTTTTGAAGGTTTTCCGGGTGGAATTCGTAGCCGTACATGTCGGTGGCCGAGAGGAAGATGCTCTCCATTTGGTTGTGGCGTAGTTCGTACGCGGGCTGGTGGGCGGCGATGAGTACCTGTCGAGCGCGTAGAGCCACGCGCGAGTGTTCGCTTCTGTTGAGCGAGGTGAGCTCGTTGAGGATCGTCGCGAGTTCGTCGGTTAGGCCGGGTTCCTTCGACCAGAGGTGATCGATGAGCATTGTGATCAGCATGTTTTTCTTCGGGACGTGCGCGTGCGAGAATATCGTCGCCATGACGATCGACATGTCGTCCTTGTGCTTCTCACGGAGCGCGGTGACGCTTTTGTCGTAGCTGCCCTGTTGGAATTGACTTTCGACGTCGTAGTATTGTTTGAGCAAGTCCTGGACGGCGGCCTTCATGCGTCCGCGGATGCCGTTTCGGTACCGCTGCACCAGCTGCACTATACCCTCCGTGGCGAGGAAGAAACCGTCTCTCTCCGCGCGCTTCTGCATGTTCGCGGCGTGACCGTCGATTACGCTCGCGATCTGCTGACTGGGAAATTGGGCGAGAACCGACGTGATGTTTCGTTCGTAGAGCGACATTAGGCGACGGATCTTTTTCTCGACGGCCGCCGGGATCCGACCCGACGTCGAGGAGATCACCTCCTGAAGCTCTAGCAGAGGTAGGCTGGGATCGCGCAGACTCGCCATGAACTTTTCGATTACCTCGCGCAGCCGCGGAGCGTTGTACTTATCGGGTAGGCAGTAACCGGCCAGAGTGTTTTCTAAAATGGTCTTGTACGAGTTGTGGATGTGGTTCATCTTCTGCGAAACGACCGGCGTGGACACGTCGATCTCTGGGAAGGGACCTTTGTACAATTGCGCTTTCGTCACCAGCGAAGCGTCGTCTAATTCTAAAGTTGCGATTATCGAACCGGCGTCTAAAACGGCACCAGGTCGTTTAATGTAGGAGACGGTGCCGGCTTCGCCCGCGGTTAGCGTCATGACCATTTTCATAACCTAAAAACATGTTGATAAAATCCTTTGATGCCAGGGAAAACCATGATGTATATTACATCATCGATGGTACGCCCCACACAGTTATGCCGTAAAATGATCATGCTCATCCGTGCAATGAGTCGCTCAAGAACAAATTATTTAACCTGCTGGTGTAATGACACAAGATCCCGTATAATGTTGCACTGCGAGTGAGACAAAAAGGAGATTGAACTTTGTCGTCAGAGTTCATATTCGTGAAAATGGTCTATAAAATCTAGGAGACAAATTATCTACCTAGTGAAACACTTTTTGGATGTGTATCCAAAACCATTGATAAAGCCCGTCCATAACAACCTTCCACGATAATAAAATTTTGGGCGTACGAAAAAACTTCATCCCGAAGAAAAAAAAAGAACTTTAAAAATCTTAAATATAGCGAAGTTACTGAAGAATCAAACAACTCCTGATGATAATTTAAAAAAATTACGCGCTTACCTCAATTTCAGCAAATGCTTGCCCCCGATACACGTGGCCGCCATCCTCGACCAAAAATCCGATCAGTTTCCCGGCCGAAGGCGACCGAAGCAGCGTCGGGTCGTTCTCCTTCTCGAAGACGCAGGTTTGATTGCCGATAACGATGCGATAGCGATCGACCTCCTCCTTCATGTACGTGGTGAACGACGCCCCGTCGACCGACAGCAAGATACCTGCGAATTGCAAGTGAACAACAACGCGATCCACCGCCGAAAAACAATTTTACCTCCGTCGCTAAGACGATGCAGTTCGATCTCCTTGAACGAGCCGTTCATGACTAGAAAGTACGTGTTCGGGCCGCTTTTCGTCGCCTGCACCTTGTACTTGTTCCTGTAAGTCTAATCTCATAAAGGGTGACGATCGCGAACGCAATTACCCCTCGTGTATCAGCTCGACGTCGACAGTGTTGGTGAGCGTGCTCGACGATTGAATCTGACCGCGCTCCAGGGAGTTCTGAAATTCGGTGAAAGCTGCGCTGATGCACTTGTCGGCGATGTGTAGCGACCCGCAGATCACCCCGAGCATCACGTCTGGTTTCTCGGCCTGGACGCGCTCCGCGATTAAAATATCCAACCAAGCCGTGTCGATGGTATTGTCCTGGAAGCTGCTCGTCTCGAGCAAGGTGATGAGGTACTCGACCGTCGTGCGGAAATCGCCTCGAATCGACAACTCCTTCAAAGCGATGACTAGATTTTCGCGCGCCTGCTCCCGATTCTCCCCCCACGAGAAGCAGTGCCCGAACTGCGAGTCGGCGAACTCGTGCAGGCCGCCCGACGCGGCCACCGAGAAGTAACCCCACACGTTCTTCGACGATCTGAAATTTAACTCCTGAACGGTGCCCGAGCTCGGCTTGAAACCCTCGTCGGGATTTTCGGACGTTATCCGCGCGGCGATTACGTGACCCCAAGGCTGAGGCTTCTGCAGCGGTTGATCGAAGTCGATGGTCGTCAGGCCCCAGGGCGACTCCCCGTATAATAATCGAATGTCCTTGATGTAGTGCAAGGGTAGACCCATTGCGATCTGAAAACTGGGCTTACGATTAATCGCACTACGCGTTTGGGCGCCAAGACCTGTAGCTGAGCGGCGGGTAGGTTTACGTCGGAGACCATCTCCGTGCAGGGATGCTCGACTTGGAGACGCGGATTGAGCTCCAGGAAGTAATAGTGACCTGAGGTGTCGTATAAGTATTCCACTGTTCCGGCTGATACGTATCCAACCATTTTTGCTAAACGAACCGCGGCCTACAACAAAACAAGTTCAAAATTTCATGCACATCTGAAGTCCTGATAAGTTACATTTCTTACAAAAGGATCATGTGTCATGAGAATGTCAGGGCTTCTCCAGTTGTATCAGCAAGTACAAAAATGCATAGGGCACAGGAGGTATTAAATCGTTTAAGAAGCATTCACTCAAATTTTCTGCTCTCCTGGTGGTAGAAGTTTACCAACGATCGGTAACTTTGAGTCATGAGGGGTGCATCCTATTAAATTTCTTAAGTTTCATGTTTCTGCGGTCCTGATACAATTTTTAGAAGAAAGATTTGGATCAGCGAAACCAGACCTTGCATTTCTGTGATCCTGATAAAATTTTCATAACAGAAACTTGTTAAAGAAGAATGTAATTTTATTTTTTTAGGAAGAGAAATTTAAAATAGAACATGACCTTCTGTAGTTCTGATACAATTTTTAGAAGGAAGCGCTATAATATCTTGCATTTCTGTAAGCCTGATACAATCTTTATCAAGATAATGATGTGTTCCTGTGGTTCTGATAAGTCATTGTGATCCTGATGCAATTTTAGAGGAAACTTTTAATAGGAGAATTTCAAAAGAGAAGCTTAGGAAAGAAAAACCTGATTTGTGAAGGGTATTTCCTATTAAAGCAACTGTTATCCCGATACAATTTAAAAAAAATTGTACCAGAAACAAAAGCTTGCATTTCTAAGATTCTGATACAGTTTTTAAAAAAAACTTAAATGGAGACAACATAATTTATAAGATGGTACGTTCCACTAGATGATGCATGTTCTTACGTTGAACCTAATATCTAGAGTAATCTTCAGAAAGAGAGATTTAAAATAAAACAGTACCTACTTTCTGTAGTCCTGATACAATTTTTATCAGGAGAACGAGAGTATTTGAAAAGAGAAACTTGGAACAGACAGACATAATTTGTAAGGGGTGTCTCATATTAGATTTTACAAGTTTCTGTGATCCTGCTACAATTTTTTTAATTTTTATGGTAGGAAAAAAGCATGTGTATATATTTCTCAAAAGGGAAATTAGAACCGAAAAATAATTTGCGAGAGGCGTCAATATGCAATTTCGTAAGTGTCTGTGATCAATTTTACAGGCAATTTGTATTAGGAGAACAAACGCGTGTGTATACTTTTCAAAAAAGAAACAGAGCAAAGAAGAAACGAGTTTGTGAGATATTAAATTGCACTAGTTTCTGTGATCCTGATACCATACTTCAAAGAAATGTTTCTCAGGAGAGTGAAAGCATGTGTTCCTCAACTCCTGATAAAACAAAAGCGAAACTTGTACATATATTTGATCCTGAACAATGTGGGGGAAAGGCGCATTTCTGGTATAACACTGTTGAAAAGGAATTTAAATTAGAGAGAGCAGAAGCTTCTGTTACTGCGAGCTAGTATCTCCTAATAAATTGTGTACGTACTTATATTTCTGTGATCCTGATATAAATACTTTAGGAGCTGAGGAATTTCACAGCAGGAGCGTATGTTGTACGGATACAATTTTTAGAAGGCAGTTTCACTGTATGTATGTACGTATCACTCAGGACATTTGCGTTTCTGTGATCCTGATTGCAATTCTGATTACAAGTTTCAAAACAGAAAGAGGACAACTTACTAAACGTCTGTGTTATTAATAGGACAATTAGTAAAAATCAATTTGGATCAGGAGGAGCTTGCGTATATGTGACCATTTTTAAGAGGTACAATCAGGAGAACAAACTTGTGTATAATGTGACCAACAATGTTTCTGTGATCCTGATAGGAATTTTCTCCTGATCCAATTTGCAGAAGAAACATTGGTATCGTGAGAACAAGCAAATCTTGGTTTTTGTTACCTTGGGACAACAGTTTTTAAAAAATATTTTGTTCAGGAGACAAAAGCCTATGTTTCTGCGATCCTGATACAATTTTTCAGACACACAATTGTGCAATTTGAAAAATGTATATCAGCGGGACAAGCTTCGAACAAAGAATGCTCAGGGAGGAAAACCCAATTTGTGACATGATGCTTTCTAAAAAATCTCATAGCTTCTGTGATCTTGATAAAAAGAGAACAGAAGCTTGACTTTCTGCGATCCTGATAATATTTTTGGGAAGGAGAGTGGTGCTTCTAGAACTGTCTAGATTTTTACGTTTCTGTTATCCTCGTATAATTTTAAGAATACGTTTTTATGAGGAAAACGAAAGTGTGGTTCTGTTATTCTGATTAAAATTTTCAAAACAGAAAGACGAGCGTCTGTGATAGTTATACAGCAATTTCTGAAAATCTATTTGTATCAGGAGACCAGGAGGAACTTTTCTGATATAAAAATGTTCTCCTAGTACAATGGTAGAACAAAAAAAGATGGCGTTTCTGTAACTTTGGTACAATAGTTTTAAAAAGAGATTTGTATCAGAAGAATTTCTGCTTTCCTGATACAATTTTTAAGAGAAATATAAACCGAAACTAGGAGATCAGATGAATGTAGCATGTCATCAAGAAATTTAAGGCTGCGCCGCCTTACCTGCCCGCGGGATTTGGTATTTTGAGCGAAAAAAAACCTCTTCGTCAAATCCGTTACGAACCGACTTACCTTCTCCACTTCTTCGAAGGCGGAAGGCCCCACGAGGAGAATATAATTTGGTGCTTTCTAATAACATTCGCAGCCTCTTCAGTTTCTGTGATCTTGATAACATTGTTAAAGGAAATTTTTATCAGAACAGAAACTTTTTGGGGATTCGGACACCATTTTATGAAAAGAAACTTGTGACAGAAACCTAGGTGACATGGTACTTTTTTACGTGTCTCTGATCCTGATACAATTTTTTAGTGTTTAGAAGGGAAAAGTAATTCTGATTAAAATTTTCAAAACCGAAAGATGAGAACTTCTGAATGCCTGATACTAATACATCAATTTGTGAAAATCAATATGAATCAGGAGAACAAGACGAGGTTGCGTCTATGTGATCTTGGAATAACAATTTTTGTAAGGTATTCGTATCAGGAGAACAGAAGCTTGTGTTCGTGAGACTCTCAACGTTTCTGTGGTCCTGATACAGAAATTTTCTCCCGACACTGAAAAAAATTTATATCAATACGACCCGTAAGAACAAGAAACGCTGTGACCTTCGTAGAGCATCTTTGAAAAAAGATTTGTATCAGGAGAATGAGAAGCTTGTGTTTCTGCGATCCTGATACAAGGTCAAACCTATGAGATCAAGGCATTCTACAGATGAATACAGCATGTACCCAAGAAATTTTTTTTGCGAAAAAATACCTCTTTATCTCTTGCCTTCACAAACCGACTTCTGTGATCTTAATAAAAGGAGAACAGAAGTTTGTGTTTCTGGGATCCGGACGAGAACTTACTGAACGTCTGTAATACTAACACAGCAATTTGTGAAAATCAATCTGAATCATCAGGAGAACAGGTTGCGTCTATGTGACCTTGGTACATCAAGGGAATCAGGAGAACAGAAGCTTGTACTACTGTGACCCTCAACGTTTGTGTACTCCTGATTACTTTGGTATTTTGAGCGAAAACCTTTACGAACCGACTTACCTTCTCCATCTCCTCAAAAATGGAAGGCTCCGCGATAACCGCAGGCGCCTCCTCGATAATCTTCTGGTGCCGTCTCTGGATCGAGCAGTCGCGCCCGAATATCGAAATCGCGTTCCCGTACTGATCGGCGAGCAGCTGAACCTCCAAATGTCTCGCGCACTTCGCGAGCTTCATTACGAAAATTGGCGAACCGGGCACTTCCGCTTGGACCTAGACGAAATTTTGGTCAAGAGGAAATCGAAGGGGAAAATCGTACCTGCCGGAAAGCTGCCGGGAAATCGTCGGCGCAGTCGACCTTCCTGATACCTTTACCTCCGCCTCCCTCCGACGCCTTGATCATCACCGGGTAGCCGATCTTCTGCGTAGCTGCCAGACCCTGCTCGACCGAGTGAACGCAACCCTTCGCGAACAGCTCCGAGGAGATCTTGATTTTTTTACCGGTGTATTCGGCCTTGAGCTCTGCAAGCGCGAGGTTAAACCGAGTGGTCAAGGTGGGGGAGGAGCTTACCTGATCCGGACCACGGTAGCGTGGGGATGTCTGCGGTTTGTGCGACGATTGACGAGGCGATTTTGTCGCCGAGCGCCCACATGGCCTTCTCGGGCGGCCCGATGAACGCGATGTTGTTTTTGTGAAGCAAATCTGGCAGCTTGGGGTTTTCGGACGCGTGCCCCCATCCGGCCCACACGGCCTGCGGAAGCGCGTTAGTAAAGCGTGACCGGAGCTCGGCGCGGCACTCACCTGAACACGACACCGGATCGCGATGTCGACTATCAGCTCCACGTTGGCGTAATTATTGTTATTGGTACCGCCGGGCACCGGCACGTAGTGATCGGCCATTTTGATGTACTCCGCGTTTGCCTTCAGATCTTCGGGCGTGACCATGACGACGAACCGAACGGACCGTTCGAATTTGAACATCTCGTACGACCATCGGCGAACCGATCTCATGCATTTGACGGCGGCGATACCGTTGTTCGCGATTAGTACCTTATTAATAACTTTGGTTCCATTGAAGCGTTTGACGAATTCTTCGGGGGTCGCGACGGTGAAGTCCTTCTCGTAGGAACGACTCTGCATCATCGTCCCCTGCGACATGCTGGGTCTGCAAGTGCGAAAGCGATCGTCAGAAATTTAACCTTAATTTGACATTTGATGACGTGTCAAAATCATTTTTGTGAAGTTTGATGTTTGAGCGGGGAGGGGCGAGATATGCCCGTACTCCCCTCCGAGTTAGCCAAGACGACAACCGGCCAGGAACGCCTCGCCATCTTGCCGCATCCAAAATACGAACAGCTGCCGAAACGGCAACAATGTAAACAGCAAAGACTCTTAAGTAAATACGAGGAAGAAGAGGACACTTTTTTTTATTAAATAGTTTCAGATGGCATCTTATTTTCCCACATTAACATACGGAATAAAAACACAGTAGGCGTCCTTTGCGTTGATGTAAGGGAAATCCTAATGAGAAATGCAATCCCATCAATCGGTCATTAATTAGTATTCATTTTTTCACACTGCGTAAATGGATTTGAAATTTAGTCAACACTGACGTTTGCTTTACGTCAATTATGAATTAAAAACAAGTACAAATTGTGAAAGCGCATTTTTAGCTCTTTGTGAGTACCTTCTTCTGACACTGTTCATATTCGTATTCGTTTTGAGTCTACCATTAGATATTCCCACTACAAGTGTTGACATCACCAATGGGTATATTTCTACCATGCGTCCCAATTGGCCTTTGTAAGTACCCCCCTCCGACAATCTGCTCTTGAGATATAAGTAATTATGGAATTATGTCCGATTACGATAAGGGGCCGAGGAGGACTCGTTCCACCCCCCACCACACCCCCTATTTTGATAAGGGGGAAGAAAGAAGGGCGGTAGTTGGTAAAAAAATAATTCCTTTTGTTGAGACCTTTAATTAGAATACCATGAAAGAGAAAACCAACTCCCCCCCCCCATCTGATGAGTTGCGCAGGAAAGTTTATAGAAAACCAATTCCTTTCGATGAGACCGTTCATTAGAATACCATGAAGGGCAAAACGTGTGTTACCCCCCCCCCCCCCACGCTTGCAATGTATTACTTGGCAGCACTAAATGGTTATCGAATCATGTAAAAGTTTTGCACGTTTTACTCTCAAAAACAGAATCACAGAAAATAATTGTTGGGGCAGCCCCCCCCCCCCCCCCCTTAAACAGCGAAATTTGATGGCCGTCTGGCACATCTCAAAGGGAATGGGGTACCTATTGCAAAAAAATTCCAGGACTCGGGACTACCACTCCCCTAAAAGTAGTTCAACAGGGCAGAAGTGGGTCCGGACAGACGAACGGACGGACAAAACGCAAACAATACCACTTGCAAGCTATTGCTTGCGTTTTGTCTGTCCGTGGAACTGCTTTTAGATTTGTCCTAGCGCCCTGGAATTTTTTGTAAGAGGTGGCGGGGGGGGCATGAAATATTTCCTGAAATACCAACCTTTCCTTTTCGAGATCAGTGGGCGACGAGGGGAAGGGGGAGGAGATTTTATCTTTCACGGTATTTCAATGAAAAGTCTCAATAAAAGAAACCTTCCATCTACCGCCCTTTTTTATTACCCCTTATCAAAATAGGGGCGGGGAGGGGGGGGGGGTGGTTTTATCCTTCATGGTACTCTAATGAAGAGAATTAATTTGTATCAGTTATAGTCCTCCTCGGCCCTTTATGGTGCTTGGTTATGATGACTTACATATCAAGAGCGAATTGTCGAAGGAGGGTACTCACAAAGGGAATCAAGCCCAAGCGAATATCTTGAAAACGAAGTGTTGGAAAATAATACTCAAAAAGGGCAAGTGGAACGTCTGGCCATGTCAAAACCTTCAGTGCAAATATCTGCAGAATGGATTTTCGGAAGAAAGTTATTCTCAAAGGGCGAAAAGACCGTCTAGACGAGAGACATGTACTGGCGATGTAAAATCTCGTCTACGGCTCGCTCGGCATTGATTCGAGCAGTGATTCATTTGATGCCAATTTTGTACGGCCTGATATCCTGTACGATTGCCGAGCGAGCCGAAAGCGAGTTCGGCACAATCCATGCAACCGTCGTGCTTCATATAAAAGAAAAATGCCATGGTTTATGCCGAACTCACCTTCGGCTCGCTCGGCATTGATTCATTTGATGACAATTTTGTACGGCCTGATATCCTGTACGATTGCCGAGCGAGCCGAAGGCGAGTTCGGCACAATCCATGCAACCGTCGTGCTTCATATAAAAGAAAAATGCCATGGTTTATGCCGAACTCACCTTCAGCTCGCTCGGCATTGATTCCAGCATTTCTTCATTTGATGACAATTTTGTGCGGCCTGATATCCTGTACAGTAATCATGGGCGATTGCCGAGCGAGCCGAAGGCGTGTTCGGCACAATCCGTGCTACTGTCGTGCTTCAAATTGAAGCAACATGCCATGGTTAATGCCGAACTCGCCTTCATCCATTTGATGCCAATTTATTCAGCTTGATATCCTGTACAGTAATCAGGTGCTATTGGCCAGCTTTGAAACTGTTCATGATTTAAGCATCCTCCCACTGGAGAACTAGAAAAGTGAGCCCGATTTTTCTCATCTTTACTTGGGTCTTGGATTCGAAATAAAAAACTTGAAGCAGATCTAAGAAAGTGGCAGTGACCATAAGGAGTCATTGGATTTGACCCATTTTCAATAGGCTCAGGTCAAATGCGCAAAGTTCGAACCGTACACTTTGCTCTACCGCTTAATGCCTAAATATAAATTCAAATCAAAATGGCTTTATTTTCCTGTTGTATATACCGGGTGACCCAATAAGACTGTTCCTTGGCCATATTTCGAGAACCGTTCGTCATATGACTTAGGGGTAAAAAAAATTATTGGGTAATTGGTTATGAAGAATCGCTGGAAAATTATTTCAAGTTCTAAAAATGACCAACAGAGGGCGTAACTGCCATCTTAAATTTTAAAATTGCATTTTCTTTAAATTCGCATAATAAACTAAAAAATTGATTTTCATATTTTTAAAGAGAACCACTTTATCTAACATTTTCGTAAAAACAAAAAGTCAGTAATTTCAAAAACAAAGATGGCGTGGGGCGTTCAATTGTTTTTACAATAACCTGATTTAACCTCTTAAACCGTTTGACCGATTTTAACAAATTTGGTATGGTTGAAAAGAGCATTTCTTGGGCAATGAGAATCAACCAAACTATAGTTAATTTAGTTGAACCCTTCTCCACCAGGGGGCTAGTTTTGACACTATAATCCAAAATCCTAAAAAAATCAAAAAAATCGAATGGAATGATATGACTTTTTCTTTATGATAAAGTAACCAAATAACATCCAAAGAGGCCAGTGAAAACCCTTTTTGAAAATCTCGTTCCTAACCTCAAATATTGGGAAAATGAGATTAATAAATTAATTAATAAAAATTCTTAAATTGTATCTATTTACTTTTTACGTATTTTCGGTATTTGTCGATGGCGCGAAAGAAAAGCAACCTACACTTTTAGGTATGCCTTGGAAAATTAAACAAATGAAACACGATGCATTATAAAATAATAACAGCCGTAATTTGTAAATTATTCTGCTGTGTTTACATTCAGAAAGTGCAGTTTTTTGAATTTGTAATCTTTCCTAAAATGCCGATTTCTAACCAAGAATCATTTAATATGCTTGTGCATTGTGTTTCATTTGTTTAATTTTCCAAGGCCGACAAAAGTGTAGGGTCATTTACCAAACAATCTTTCGCGCCATCGACAAATACCCGGAAACAGGTCAAATAAGATACAATTTAAGCATTTTAATTAATTAATTAATTAATCTCATTTTTCCAATATTTGAACGAGATTTTGAAAAACGGTTTTCACTGGCCTCTTTGGATGTTATTTGGCTACCTTTTCATAAAGAAAAAGTCATATCATTCCATTCGATTGTTTTAGGATTTTGGAGCGTAGTATCAAAACTAGCCCCCTGGCGGAGAAGGATTCAACTAAATTAATTATATTTTGACTGATTTTCATCTTCATGATTCTTGTTGCCCAAGGAATGCTATTTTCAACCATACCAAATTTGTTAAAATCGGTCAAACCGTTAAGAAGTTAAAGTAGATTATTGCAAAAACAATTGAACGTCCCACGCCATCTTTGTTTTTGAAATAACTGAGTTTTTGTTTTTACGAAAATGATAGATAAACTGATTCTCTTTAAAAATGTGAAGAAAGAATGTTTAGTTAATTTAAAGAAAATGCACTTTTAAAATTTAAAATGGCAGTTACACCCTCTGGTGGTCATTTTTAGAACTCAAAAATATTTTCCAGCGATTCCTCATAACCGATTTACCCAATCATTTTTTTTACCCCTGAACGGTTCCCGAGATATGGCCGAGGAACAGTCTTATTGGGTCACCCGGTACACAGTGTTCCTCTCTTCAAGAGGTTTACAGTCACTTATAAGAAACACCCTGTACAACAATTTAAGAAAATGCATGTAGGTACTTACTAGTTATATCATAAGTGATGTAGAAAGCATGTGAGTACGTGCCCTGCATTCCTGGCAGTATTGGTGCATTATATTTCTGACCACCCTGTATAGACATTCTTCAATTTTTTATTTTATTTGAGAAGCGCAAATAAAGAAAGTAGCGATGATGAAACACCTCACCTCGGGGAAAAGCTTAAGCGACGTTTATTGCATGTATTTACAGCGTAGGTAATTAAGTCGTAAACTGTGACTTTCCGAAGGTGATTAGCGTAAGTCGGGCTAAGCCACGGTACCTCTCGACCCAAAGTTTCGAAGCGTGCAATCACCCGTCGAATTAGCAGAAGAGCGAAATAATGAAAAGGACTTACACGAGCGTGCGTTTCGCACTACGCAACAGCTTGTTGTTAGGTATATGCATCACCGGTTCGGCGGCCGTCGGCGAACCGACGATATCCGCGAGATTAATCGCTTCTTCGTCGTTCTCGTCCCCGATAACGAACCTCTTACTCAATCTTCTCACGGGCAACATGTCGTTATATGCCTTAAACCCAAGCAGTCCGAGCAAGTATTCACTTACAAAGTTCATCTACACACATCGCAGAATTAGTACTGAAAGCCG